GACGCTTCCCTGTTGTCCTGTGTCGTGTCTTCATGGCCATTTTTCTTGGACCGTGAGACCTGGCGTTGTTGAGGAGAAGCAGAAATCACCCCAAGATGGGGTGTCAGTGTCTTTGAAGGTGTCAGGGCTGCTTCGGAGTCCCTGGTGGAGGCAGATCTTCTGCTGGTGACATGCTGAATGTGGCGTGCTCCTGGGAGTGCTGATACTGCGGGTCCCACAAAGGATGAATGTTTACATCCTCTTTAATTTCTAGGGTGGATCTGGCCAGCGCAATCAACCCAGCACCATGCAGCAAAAGTCTCAGGCTACCAAAACCGCCTATGGCACTTCTCCATACTGGACAAACTAAATCCGAAACCGGGGAGGGGGGAGAGAATGAAAGGAGAGGAGGAGGAGAAAAGAAAAAAAAAGAAAAGCCGAAACCCATTCCTGGAACTATTAGGAGAAGAAGTAACTGCTCAGCCAAACGTCTGTGCGGGGAGAACTGCAGCCAGCCAGCCATCCTCTGTGTGACTCGCCCGCTTCCTCTTTGAGTTGCTGTTGTATGTAATATATTTATGTATGTATTTGTAAATGTAATAGAGCCTAAATGTGGTTTTCTGCATCTTGCAGCCTGTTTTATTTTCTTTGTTTAGGGAAACTAATTATTCATTTCCCATCGGCACCAGGGCATCTTTCCTTGTTTTTTAAGCTCTATGGGCTTTATAACTCTGTCAAAGACAAACTGCGCCATTTTTATTGGAGCTGGAGCCCATTTATTTAATGCAGTTCTGAATTCAGGCAAATAAGAAGGCCTGGCCCCCAAAAAAGAAGAATCAAGATGCGTCCTTTTGGTTTGATTTCTGCCTCCATCCCCCAATATAGCTGTTACTCTAAAAAAAAAAAAAAAAAAAGAAAAAAAGAAAAAAAAAAAAAAGGAAAAAAAAAAAAAAAAAAGGAAAAAAAAGTGTTTTGTGGGCCTTCCCCTTTCTTTTGTCTCCCCCCTCCCTCCTGCTGTGGAAGATGAACTCATGGGCAGTTTGGTCACTGTGGCCCTGAGCTGCAGCCTCACCTTTTTATTTTTTAATTTTTAAAGAAAAAGACAGGGTGTTTTTTTTCTTTCTTTTTTTTTTTGCTTTTCTTTTTTTTTTCTTTTTTTTTTTTTCTTTTCTAGCAGGAGACTTTGGATGGCTCAGTGTATCCTGGAACCTTCTTTGCATCGTTAGAGGCAAAAACTATGTAGCGGTTTCTTAAATAAAAGTATAAGCTGTGTCTTGTACCTCTTTTTGCCCCAAGCCACCCTGCCCAGGATAGCCAGAGCTACTGGATGGAAACTTCACCTGTCCCTCCCCCCTTTTTTTAAAACAAAGACTATGGAGGCATCTCCTGGTCCTTTTTGTCCTGCACCAGTGCGGTGAATGTTTTAGGAGTTTCATTTCTTTTTAGCCCTTACTCCACCTAATAAAGATCTGAGCGTATCGCTGGTGTTTGTCTGCATTTTCAAAGGCTCCAGGAGCAGTTTTGCTTTTTACAGCCTGTCCCTTTGCCCCCCCCACTCCTGGAACAAAAGCAGTAAAGCTCAACGGCTCCCTTCCAGGAGGGTAAAATCAGTAGTTGGGCCTGCAAAGGCCATGGAATAAGGTGACAAAGGTGAGTGCGCTTTGGTGCTGAGAGCTCGGTGGCTGTGGGCCTGGTGGAGGTCAGTGTATGCCCCCCGCCCCGTGGTTGTGTGCAGAGGGGATGGGGTCCTGCTGTGACAGGCTGTGTCGGGGGGACAACCTGACTCTTGCTGCCTAACGTTGCCTCTGTCCCTGTACTCTGTCCTAGCCCCTGCAAGAGCAGCCAGCAGAGTTGAGGAGGGAGCACAGCAACAGCACAAACCATCCTTGCCTTGCCGCTGAGGCAGCACTGCTGCTATGTGCGAGCACCAAGAGGAAGGTCAGTAGTGAGAACAACTGAGGGACGGCTCCTGCCCCAGGCTTGTACTGCTGAGGCTGTAGCTCTTCATCACAGCAGAGGACATGGGCAAACCTGAAGCTGTATTTGGCCAAGCAGCAGAGAGAGAGAGGTGAGGAGCTAATCAGCTCACAGCCCAGCACTGCCCCTGTGGGCAGGCCCAGAGCAGCTGGGGAAGCCTCTTCAGCACTGACTGCAGGATGCTGTCCTTGCCTAGCAGCTCTTGCCTGATCCTACAGGGCTTACAGTGATGACACCTTGTTTACCTGCACTCAGAGCTGCTGTCTTACAGTTTTTATGACTGCCCATGTTGAAATGGTATGCTTTCAAAAAAAAAAAAAACCTTAACACTCCACGAAAGCCGTCTTTGCTTTAGACGCTAATTGATAAAAGCAGCACTGCTATCCCACAGGAGGAGTAGGTCAATCCTTGGCCATGCCTGCAGTATCATAGTGGACCCATCATGGCAGTGCCATGATGAGCTTTCGTGCCACCAATGTTGCTACAGGGCAGGAACCATCTTGTCCATATAGCACCTTGAGAAGAGTTGTTTAGCAGGGCATGAACAGCCACAGCTGTGCTAACTCCCAGCCTCAAGAGGGTTGGGGGGGGGGTCTGTCTTACCAGCTTACCCTGCATCCCGGGGTGCTTTTGAGTGTCTTAGGGAGGAACACAGCAAAAAGCATCTCTAATAGGTAACAGCAGCGTGAGTTACAGTGAGCCAAGCTCAAGCATGGCAGTGAGGGATGAGCTCCTAGGCTCTGTTAACGTAGCAAGTAACACACATGCAAGTTAGTGTCAGTGCTCTGCACCACCACCCCCTTTTTTTTTTTTTTTTTTACAGTTGCTGCAGAGCAACTGCGAGGCATGCCTGGCTCCCTGGCAGGGAAACAGTGTGGTCCAGTGCTGTCTCATGGGTGCCAGCTGCAAAATCTGCCCTTGTCATTAGCTGTGAAAAGGCTTTGCTTGAACCACTGCATGTGTACAGGACTTCCAAGCCTGAAATCAGCAGCTCTGGGTGGAGGAGGTGGGCGGTGCTGAAGGCTATAGTCTTCCTCTTCCACAACCCATACCAAAGCAAGGGCAACTCAAGGCCTGCTGTGGGCTGCACCTTGTGCTCCCACATGTACTGGGGGCTGCCCCAACACCTACCTCCAGGCAGCAGCATTTTTTGCTTCAAGCAGCAAGTGGTCATCAACTACCACCACTGCATGTTGGTTAACGCAAGGTCTTGGAGCCAGTTCTACAGTGCTATGGCTCCCTACATCCCCATCTCCTCCCTTCCTTTACTGGCCTGACTAAACAGGATGTTGTCTATTTTTCTTACCCTGGCTGCTACAGTAGGTTTCTTTTGCAGCAGTTTCCTCTCTATAGCTGCTGTTGCTGAAGGCACTGAGCATGTTTTCATGTTAGAGCCAGTGCTTCAGAGCTGCACTCAGGGGAAAATAAATAAATGGCGGAAGACTTGCGCAGTGTAAGCAGAAAGTGCACTCATTTGCTCCAGAACCATTGGTGCAGGTGGCGTTCATCCCATCTTTCCCCCCCACACTTCAAGCTGAATGAAAAAAGGTACTGGCTCAAGATATCTGAGCATGTGAGTACTGCAGGTCCCCAGGCAGTTACAAGACCCTCTTTGCCAAATTGAGACTTTATCCTCTCTGTCCCCTTTCTCTGCTCTAGCAAGTGAGTTCTCAAAGAATTTTTTTTTCCCCTGAACTGCAGTAGCTTTTCCTACAGCATGCCATCAAGCATGACAGCTCAGGCCAGTGAATGTGTTTAACGCAGCAGCAGCTGCATTGCTAATTTTGCCAAGTGCATGCTTATATACAATAGTCCTTCTTCCCCCTAATTTTAGACCAACTGCAGCATTCACTCACTGCAGAACCTTCTTCCCCCCC